GCATCGCTACTAGTAACAAGTGCCTTACTAGTAGTAACAATGTTTGCCATTAGAATCTAATTAACATTACGGGCAAAAAAGAAGCTCTTAACATTTGGTCTACTCTTTGCCGATTCGGATTCGGGCACTCCAGACGGTTGACGTCGAAACGCACCATGCATCTTGACTCGAGTCGCCGAGGAGCCCCGTTCGTAGCGTCCGAACGCTCCGTTCGTAGCTTCTTGTTTGTGGCAGCTTGACGCCCTCACAGCTGGCGTCGGCACACAGCACCATCACCCAGCGCTCGCACCAGCCCTCTCTACAAAGCGCGCGTACCTAGTGCCACGTGTGGAAAAATGCTAAAGTTACACCATTGTAGACTGCCGAAAAGATATTTGTGACCTGCCCTGCAGCGGCACCACAAGCGCCCAAGTTCGAACACATAGACATCTGGCAGCCTCGCCCTGCAGTGCAGCGCCCACGCTCCCTTCGCGCAGCGGCACCAGTGCCATATCTGACACCACCGCCGCTCCAAAGCCCACCAAAGCCCACAACTTCACCTGAGGTAAGAACCCGACTAGATCTCGAGGAAAAGTGCGACGCTTGACGCTCAATGTGTTCTTCAGGAATGTGTTCTTCACGCAATGTGAAAGCTGCCTTCGCAACCAAATACCGTTTCATGGTCTGCGTTGAATCCTTGACTAACGGTTGCAATTCACCACTGACCTTTGCCATCGTGAACTTGTAGCTGTTTTTCAACGAGCAACAGCAATCCTAGTGTGTCGTGGCTTGACTTTCAGCACCTGACCGTTGCACCAAGTTCTTTGAGCGTCAAGTCCTCAGTGGTTTTTCTTGAAGTGGATAGTGGCGGCTAGGTATTGTACGCGTTCATGCAGGATGTCTTCCATCTCTCTCAATGTCTTGGTATGCTTTTATCCACATCCGGCCTTTCTGCCGATCTTGGTAATGCGCGGCTTCGTCTTCTGGACCTTGTTGTCTACATGTCTTGTCTCTGTTTCAATCGTAGACTCTCGTCTTCCACGCATGTCCCGTTGTCCAGACAGAGTTGCCAATTGTGCAAGAATTGTGCATCCGACGCCGCGCTGTTGATCACCTCTACGTCACCTCATATACTTTTGACGCTCCTTCAACTCAAGCTTGTTGCTGTCCCTAAATCCCTTCAAGCCACAGAGCCAAAAGCCCGCGTGACAGCTTCTCTGACTTCGTACCAACCATCGTGCACTGGGAGATCTCACTCCTGCTCTGGCTGTGGAGGCATCGTCGTGTTCGCGCCATGCTCGTCGTCTTGACCTGAACATGCTTGACTCCAGGTTCTTTGCCATCTTCAGGGTCGCAGACTCTTGTTTCATCTGAGAAGTGATACTCGGCGCTTCCCCATCTTGTGTGTGTAACCCTTGGAATCATTGGGATCCTTTTGGGTTTTTCAGGTTTGCCTTTTTGTTTTGTTTCACAGCAGGGGAGCGGTGGGCATTCTTGAAGTCACCGCTCACACTTCAAGTTTGCTGTGATATGCAATCTGGACGCAGATTGCACGTACCTGCATTTTCCTTTTCTGAATGGCATGAGGCCAAGCCCAGAACCTCAAGACATGATTCCTAAGTAGCTGCAGACCTGCGCGCCGCGACGTCATCTTGTCGGCTCGTTGCTCGTCTTTTTTCCTTTTGGGCCCTACTTCCTCTTGAAGACCTCCAGGTTCCCGTGGTTCGTACATGTACTCTTAGGAAATGGAACCCTAGGCCGGCGTGTGGCACCCCCGCTTTCAGTTCAGCACACCCTATCCTAAGTGTGTTTGGCTTCGTGCCAACCCGGGATGAGCCCGCAGAGTGCCTCCCGTGGACCCGTTGAACGGGGGTACGTCGTTATCTCCCTTGCTTTGGAGATGTAAGTGTCCGGAGCGGACAGCAGATGGCTTACGCCACAAGAAGTGGGATGTTTGTCTCATCTTTGGAATTCCAAGTTGGCTTATGCCTGTACGTGACCGCAGCGGTCAAAGCAGCCAGCCATTTCGGCAGGGCACAAGGTGACAGCGGTCAAAGCAAGTTTAAGGTCCAGTGGGACCTGTTGGAGCCTTAGTATCTCAGTTGATTCCTCCTTCTCCGCTCCCCGCTCCTCTTTGGTGTGTCCCTGGACGCTTGTTTCGTAGCTGAGAGCACCTCTCTCTCTCTCTCTCTGTCTTTCTCTCTCTCTCTCTCTCTCTCTCCTTTTCTTGACGGGTGTGTCCTTGGACGCTTGCGTGGTAGCTGGGAACACCATCGTCTCTTTCCTTTTCTCGTTTGGTGTCTCTCTCTCTCTCTCTCCCCCTCCCTCTCCCTGCGCCTCCCGCCGCTATGCAGCTCTCTCCTACCGGCCTCGCCGCCTACACCTTGCCACACACAGGCCTTCCACCTTTCCTTTCCCTTCCTTACACCGGGGTCTACACCCTACCGGATGACAGCGTGCAGGGGTGCCTGGGCCTTTCAGTGTGCAGCTGGCAACCGCACCAACCATCCTTCCTCCAGTTTACAAGAAACGGACACTTCTTTTCCGTTTCTTGTTCTTCCTCTTCCTGCGCCTCCACGCACCTTTCCTGTCCCTTCCCTACGCCGGGGTTTACACCCTACTGGATAACCGCGTGCAGGGGTGCCTGGGCCTTTTACTGTGCAGCTGGCAACCGCACCAACCATCCTCACTGAAATCTCACCCCACCTTTGGCGCGGAGCTTAAAATCTTGCCCCCCTTCAGGGGAGGCGTGTGTGTGTGTAACCCTTGGAATCATTGGGATCCTTTTGGATTTTTCAGGTTTGCTTTTTTGTTTTGTTTCACAGCAGGGGAGCGCGGTGGGCATTCTTGAAGTCACCGCTCAACGAAGACACTTCAAGTTTGCTGTGATATGCAATCTGGACGCAGATTGCACGTACCTGCATTTTCCTTTTCTGAATGGCATGAGGCTAAGCCCAGAACGTCAAGACATGATTCCTAAGTAGCTGCAGACCTGCACGCCACGACGTCATCTTGTCGGCTCGTCGCTCGTCTTTTTTCCTTTTGGGCCCTACTTCCTCTTGAAGACCTCCAGGTTCCCGTGGTTCGTACACGTACTCTTAGGAAATGGAACCCTAGGCCGGCGTGTGGCACCGCTTTCAGTTCAGTACACCCTATCCTAAGTGTGTCACAACACTTTACATTTTACAACACTTTTGGTGGGCCAAGTTGTGCTTGGAAAGGGGTGGGCAGCTTGGCTTTGTTTGCCTGCTGACCGGCCCGCGTTGACGATTTCTGGGGTGAGCGCGAACGAGCTTTGGTTACCCAAGTGTCACAATGACGACCACGACAGTGGTGGCCGTCATAAGGATGACGTTGGTGAGGATGAAGCTGTCTTTCCAGCCGTTTCTTCGCGTTGTCGTTCGGTCTTGAGGTGCAAGATATCCTCTCGAGGAGGACGGGCATGGCCCAGGAGCATATCGACCGCATCCCAATACAAAGGCGGGAAATGCGATTGTCGCAGGGTGGGGGTGTCGCCGGAGCTAAGCCTGTTCGGGTGTCGGGGCACATGCGCAAAACAAACGTCAGCAATTGCCCAGAGGTTTTGTAGGTAGGCCTGTGACGGCCGCGCTCCTCTTGGAGAAGGTGAGGTGGCCTGTCCAGATGTTGTGAAGCGGGGAGATTTTCAAACACAAAGGTGGTAGAAAAGCGCAGGCAAACGATCGGTATCCGTTCTTTGGCGGCAAACAAAAATGGAACGTCTACAGAAAAGTATGCAAGGGTGTGTGGGCAAAGCAAGCGAAGATTGAGGTTTGTAGAGGATGTTGTGCGCGCGCAGACAAAGCAGAGTTCTCCAAAGCCAAACTCGAACAAGTACACAGTCACGCCTAGAGTTCTCTAAAGTACAGGGAACTCAAACAACAAGCACTTGTTCCTAGTAGCGTGGCACTTGTTCCTAGTAGCGAGAAGCGCAAAGAAGTGAAGGAAACGGAGTTAACCGCCGTTTACAAGAGCACTGCACGTTGGCGCATCGCACATGGACAGCCCGTTGCGCTTTCAGTTGGCTCGTGGCACAGTGCCCGACCGCGTCTTGCCTGTCGGCTGTCGCTGGCTGGCTGCTGGAAGGCTGTGTGGCGCAGAAGTGTTTTTGTGGACGTTTTGTGAAAGAGCTGATGTTTCAGTTCAACATTTTTGTTTTTGTCATGGCTCTCCACGCGATCCCAAGAGAGGTGGCAGGGCCAAGAAGTTCAAGAAGCCAATGGACAGACCACGTGCATGGTCAGCCACCCAGTGCGCGTTTTTAGTTTAAATGTTTCAACGCTCCTTGAAGCATGTTAACACACGGTTTTCAATCCTTTAGTTGCAACCATTCTTTTGCGCAGCAGATTACCTTGGACGAATGCATTCATCTTGGGAGTCTTTTGAAAGATTCTTTCGGCCCTTTTCTGATGCATCCACAATTCTTGAAACAGTCTCATGTTTGCCATGTTCTTTGTGAGAGATGTAGACAAATTTGTTTTCTTGCGTTCAATGAAGCAAAGGTGCGGGGTCAATCCATTGGTTCGATTCGCCCGGTGTTGCGTGCTTCCATCAATGGTTGCGGGATTCAGACTTTATTGTTCAAGAGCCGCGAGCACTCTAGAAGTCGAGCGCGAGTAAACTGGCGAAATTGCAAGGCCTCGTAAACCGAGAAGGTGGGAAGACCCGAGATGGGCCAGTTGATCCACACCAAATGCGCATGAAGGGGGAGCTGAGAAATGAAAGTGGACACGGCCAAGCTAGCAAACAAGCCAGGCTCACGAACCAAGAGTTGCTGAATTAAAGGCGGAAGGTGCAGGAGACCAGCTGTTCTGATTCCGCCTGGCACGCCCCTCTGCCAGTCGTGAACCTCGAACTGCGCAGCTGGGGGAGGTCAACAGAGTCCACGGGAAACCCTTGTTTTCCTGACTTGAAAGCAGTGATGAGAATGCCAAGATTGAGTCAAGATACGGATATCTTGCAGGCCGTACCACGCACATGCAAGGCTCATACCACTAGCCCCTGTGGACGCAGAAAAGTGGATGTGGTAGCAGAGCAGTGACGTAGATGAAGATAGATAGGTTTTGGACACAGTTGCGCGAGCAGCAGGCGCGGTTTTCCACACTGGTCGAAGCTAACCGTGTTCCAGCGCAATAGTCTAGAATGAGATCAAGGCCTTCAGAGAATGGTCTTGGGTCCTTGAGAAATACCTATCCTCAGTTGATGAACACTACATGGCAGATTTCAATTGTTTCATGACAAGCCCAGTGGCAGCTTTGACATGGGTTTGGCAGACGAGAAGACCAGGTCCATCACGGTTTTTGGTTGGCTTCTTTAATGCGAGTTGTGCTTTGGTCGTGAAGTAAGTGGAGGGCTCAAAGGCTTTGACGCGCGTGAAACCGACCTCAAAGGCTGGAGCTTTGTGGGGGTCTGCATCGACATGGCCAGCTTTCACGCCGCATTGCAGCCCAAAAGCTGCTTCGACGTAAGGAGGAGACACCCAAAGCCGGAGCCGCGCGCGACAAAAGTGGGTTGCTTTGTTCTTGGCCAGCAGCAATGGAGATTATCAAGGCTACATACGCCATGGAAGTTGGCTTGGTAAGGGCCAAAGTGGCGAAAGGGAAAAGGAGCTGGGGCTTGGTACACTTGGGGCGCCAGGTCATTTGGTCAAAGCTTTGACTACTCAAACAATCGCAATGTGAGGCAAGTGGCCAGCGAGACGCGCATTCCTCAACTCCGGAGGAGTTACCAGCAGTTCATTGACCTACGCGAAAAGTACAACGCGTTGGAAGGATTTGACAGAGTGAAGAAGAAAGAAGAAGAAGAAGAAAAAGAAGAAGAAGAAGAAGAGCAAGGCTCTCCGAAAAGCGCGGCTTTTGCCCACAATGAGCGCTTAGGAGCGTAGCCAGAGCAACGGGTTAATTGGAGAGAGCCAACTGGCCTCACTTCAATGTGCGCCCTTTCGGTTCAATCATTTTGGCAAAGTTCAACTCGAAACATCGCGCCAAGCAAATTGCGATAATTTTTTCAGTCTTGTCATCCTACAAATCAAAATTTCGCTTGCTGCAAGTTGAGGGGTTTGTCATGGGTTTCGGTGTCAATTGGGTATCCGAAACTGGCCACAAGCTTACCTTTTTGAAGGACTCCCCAAAATGATTTGTATTTGGTTGTATTAAGCGTGTGCAGCTTGGGCCCTGCAGGATTTCAAATTCTGTTCATTTGAAATGACAACCGAAAGAGTGCAAGTTCTCACACAGGTGTGCCTCAACGCCTTCGAGCCTTCAAGCGAGGACAGAGTGTTGTCGGTATCTACGATTTTTGTTTCCTTTCATTCTCGCATTTTTCAATCGCGCGCGTTTGCAACGTGTTTCTAATTTGGTTCTAGGTTCGGCAGCTTCCATGCCAACACGTCTTTCATGTTCAATGCATCGACGAATGGCTGGTGGCCTTAGTTAGACAGATAACCAGTCGGAGTAGATGTGAAGGCTTCCTCTCTGTCCCTTGCTTCACCCTGCGAATATTGATATCTGTTTAGAGTTGTGCTATCCTAGTTTGGCTTGGTTTGAGGCTTCGCCGCGTCACAGATTGTCCCATTTGCAAGACCAACGTGGACAGGGCAGTGTCTTGACGGGACTTGAGGGAAACCTTGCAAAGAAAAGGTCAGACGATTTTTCTGGAAGGGCGGGGGGAAGGGCTTCCTTGAAGAACGCCCCATGGGATTAGTTTGTTCGTAGATCAGATCTTTTTCCGGGAGTGTCTGCGAAGGGTTCTTAGAAATCTTTTGCGTATCACATCTGCAGTCAATACATTGGGATTTACATATATAATATATACATTTGTATATAAACCATGCTATAAGTACATCTGCAGCTTGCAGGGGTGGTCTTCTAGAGCTGCTATGGTTGTTGTGTAGAACTGCTGCTACGCTAGCGTTGCTTTGGTGCTGGGATCTTGCTTGGGTGAATTGCTTTGGTGCTGGGATCTTGCTTGGGTGAGTTGCTTTGGTGCTGGGATCTTGCTTGGAACAGCTTTGGCGCTGGGATCTTGCTTGGATAACTTTCGCTGGGATCTGGCTTAAACAAAGTCACGCAAAGTCAAGTGTACAACTTTCGCTGGGGTCTGGCTTAAGTAAAATCACGTGTGAAATCACGTATGACTTTCGCTGGGGTCGTGCTTCAGTAAGCGCATATGCGCAAGTAACATATGACATGTTAACGTAGAGTAAGGCGTGCGTTTGTCCGTGCGTGCGTGCGTGCGTGAATGGTGTCTGTCGAGTACTCAATTGTGAGGAAAAATGAGAATTCTGGCCTGGCTCGAAGAACCCTTTGCGGAGATCGTGCGCGCGGAGTGCTCAAACGTGAGGAATGCGAACTCTGGGTGGGCCGGATGTGTCGAGCGCTCAAACATGAGGCGACGTGCGAATTTTGCTTGAGCGCAAAGCGTGGATCTGTTGTCGAAAACGGAGGTGGAGGTTGAAAACGGTTAACTGTCATCGAAAACAAAGGTGGGGGTTGCCAAAGTGTGAAACTGTCGCGGAAAACGAAGGTGGAGGTTGCCAAAGTTTGCAAAGTGTGTAAATGTTGTAGATATGGCCGCTAGGTACTAGGTAGTATATATGTAATACGGGACGTAGCTTCTGGACCGAACTGGCCACTTGTAGTAGAAATGTATAATATTCTGGGAGCGGCGCAAACAATGCTTGGTGTTGCATTGTTGTACCCGTGGCCAAACTGCGTCTGTGATGTCGTTGTGCCATGCGGTTTTGCGCGGCCTCGGTGGAAGGTGCGTTGGCGCGAGTCCGTGCCGCTGGGGGGAGGAAATCGCGCGGGTGTAAATTCGGCGTGTCGCTGGAGCGGGATGATGGGCGGCGCAAACGACGCTTGGTGTTATGTTGTTGTATCTTCTCTGTCGCGCGTGCATCACAAGGAAGTCAACCGAGCTGAATGTCATCTGTGGCCAGAGCTGCCGACGGCGCGGGTGGGAGTATGCTTTCTGGTGTGGCAACAGTCGGGTAGGCGTTGCGCTTTCCCCTGCTTTGCGTTCTGATCCTCCTGAAAGCAGATCTGGCTGCGCGCGCTTTGCGAAATTGCCGGCGGGAATGTGGTGGGGGCTGGAGTTTCGGAAAGGGGTAGTTTTCAATTTTCATGTCCAAACCATTGCGCGTGTATCCCTTAAATCCATTGCTGCCTTTTGTGTACCCTTGAACCCTGTTTTTTGCGACGCTGAGGTTCGCCAGTACTGAGTGTCTTCGTGTCAGCGAAAAAGGGCGACCTACTGAGACAGCAGAGTGTCTTGGATGGGGCTGTGCGTTCAATGAAAAACATTTTTTGCGGACCCATGGGGACCTTTTGTCAGGGATGGGGCAACATATTGACGATGGGCCTTGTGCATGCTGAGCTTTGCTACCAAGCCGGTTCTTGACTCATGGCATTCACGCCTACAGTCTTTCCGTCTTTCCTTCCGGCCCCGAGGTGTTTCAACAAAGATTCTGACTGGCAAAGATTCAATTTAGAAAACCTAGTTCTTGAACGCCCAACAATAACGTATAAAATGTTCAAAGGAAGTTTAGAGGAACTTCCGTGTTACGAACTTTTTCATTAGCTGTAATTCTAGTGAATTGTTCTACCACGGATCTCTAGCTGCAGTTCATTGTCCAGTTCATTGTTCTACCATTGATCTCTAGCTCTGGTTAATTGTTCAATACACCACTCATCATACACCACTCATCAGACACCACTCATCATACATCGCTGATCATGCGCCACTCATCATACACCACTTGTCATACACCACTTAGCGTACGCCGCTCATCATACGCCACTCATCATACACCACTCATCAGACACCGCTCATCACTCACCACTTATCATCCACCACTCATCATCCACTTAGCTCTAGGTTGAGTTAGCTCTATCCAGCTCCAGGTAGCTCTAGTTTCAATAACCTCGACGGGGAAGCTCCGCGGAACGACGGTTTCCGGACAGTCTCGGGTCATCCCTCCATTGTGGTTAGAGTTTTCACTTGTTTCTTGAAGTGCAGATTTCGTGGCAGGCGCAGCGCTTTGTGAACCTCGATGTGCAGATTTCGCGGCAGGCATAGCGCTTTGAACCTCCATGTGCAGATTTCGTGGCATGCGCAGCGCTTTGTGAACCTCCATGTGCAGAATTCGTGGCAGGTGTAGCGCTTTGTGGACCGCGAGGTGCAGAATTCGTGGCAGGTGTAGCGCTTTGTGAACCGCGAGGTGCAGATTTCGTGGCAGGCACAGCACTTTGTGACCTCCATGTGCAGATGTCGTGGCAGGCACAGCACTTTGTGAACCTCGATGTGCAGACTTCGTGGCAGGCGCAGCACTTTGTGAACCTCAACGCGCAGATTTCGTGGCATGCGCAGCGCTTTGTGAACCTCCATGTGCAGAATTCGTGGCAGGCGCAGCGCTTTGTGAACCTCGATGTGCAGATTTCGTGGCAGACGCAGAACTTTGTGAACCTTCATGTGCAGATTTCGTGGCAGGCGCAGTGCTTTGTGAACCTTGGAGGCTGAGAACTGGCGACTTTGTAGTGCAACTTTAGTACGCGGAGTATCGAGAACTGGCGACTTTGTAGTACAACTTTAGTGCACGGAGCAATCTGTGGAGCTGGAAGCTGAGAACTGGCGACTTTGTAGTACAACTTTAGTACGCGGAGCAATCTGTGGAGCTGGAGGCTGAGAACTGGCGACTGTAGTACAACTTTAGTACATCAGGGAGCACAGACCTTGCACAGGTGGCGCTGTGTTGGTCAAAAGTCCGGAGCGCATGCGTCTGACTGAGGGACACGAGGGACACGCATGGTGGAAAGAACCGGGACACTATTTGTTCCCCAATAGCCATGCTATGGGGTCTTGCAAAACTATTAGGCGGACGGGCGCCGTCGGGTCACCGTCAGAGCTGGTGGGCGGATGGTGTCCCGGTCATGTTTTGATGGCGTCCGGGTCATGTGATGCTGGCGTCCCGGTGTCCCGATCATGTTTTGATTGTGACCCAATCATGTTGTGATGGTGTCCCGGTCCTGTTTTGATGGTGTCCCG